AGGTGCGGAGCGGTGCGGTGTCCGCGGGTGGGACAGGTGCGGAGCGGTGCGGTGTCCGCGGGTGGGACAGGTGCGGAGCGGTGCGGTGTCCGCGGATGGGACAGTGCGGAGCGGAGCGCCCCGCGCAGGTCCCCGCCGTGTGTCTCCGGGGAGCGGGAGCGGACTGCGCCGGGAGCCGCCGTGCGAGCGCCGGGGACGGGACGGCGGGCGTTCCTTATACGGTCCCGGTACCCGCTCCTCCCCGCGGCRCTGAGCGCCCCCGCGGAGCGAGAAGGGGCGGCGATCCCGGGCCGGGGCAGCCCGCCCCGCGCCTCCGGGCTGCGGGATGGMGCCACGGCACAGCCCCGCCTGAACGCGGTTACGCCACAAACTTGGGTCGCGGTCCAGAGCTTTTGGAGGGAAGACATTTCACCCGAGAATTTCCCAGTTTGGGGAACCTACCCTTGCTTATTAGCATATGCCACCCTCTMCCCAAAGGAAGAAGGTGAAAATACAGTTTAATATATATATTTCTGAAGGTTGTGCAATCTGGAAGGTAAGTCACTGAATCAGATTTACCAAGGCTAGTTGCTGAACGCTACAGTTGTGTAACAGGGAAGCCCCACTACCTGCACTGTGCTCACAGAAGTTTTACTAACAGTCTTCAGCTAATCACAGGTTCAAGAGTCAAAGAGCATAGGAGTACCACAAATGGAGCTTCACACACTTTACCCACAGAGAAATACATCAAAAGCACCTATGGGAGTTGAAAGCCATGGTAGAGATGGGACTGTTTCTATACGTCACAGTACACACCGGAAAAACACAGCAAATATCACATTTGACTACTTTGCCATGTATTAGCAATTCCAGATGYGGACTGAAGATGAAAGGATGCCAAAGCTGACCAAGATGTGCTTGACAGCAGCACAGCTACACACAGCACACCTTGCAGCAGAGCTCAGAAATTGTGCACAGTAGCTTTCTGTCTCAAACTGTACATTGGCAAAGTGCTATGCTGGAGGTGATTACTTAGTAAAAGTCAGAACCAGTTTGAGGATTAGAAATTATCCTATTTCTTTATGGAAGCTAAATTAAGTTTCATTCCTGCCCAGCCTCYTCTGGCTCTTATCCACAGCTGGACAAGATGGAAGTAGTCTTTACTGCAAGTGCTCTGAGTTCCACTCGAGGTGCTCTGACCTGCCTGTATCTGRCCATTTTGTGACATGGTATTCAGTAGGTGGAAGTCTGGTCCAGCAGGATTATTAAGTTGAGCTGCGAAATCATGTTTGTGTTGGTCTGGACTCTAGATGCGTATCTGGGAGTATGAATGTCCCAGAAGAGACAGAAGGTGGCCATGGTATACAAGTGGCATTTCCTAATCTCACTACAGCATTTTAGGGCATCAGTCTCTCTGGCCCAATTACTCTCTAATTACTTATATAATGAGTAAGAAAGAGTTTCCAGATGTCCTGTTGAGGAAGAGCAAGAAAGAAACTTATGCTCTACACTTACCAATTAGGCTATTGATTTATTGATCAGTTGAAGTGGTTGCCCTAAATCAGCTTCTGACAACATGAAAGATGATAAACCTTCCAAGCAMAGCTTCAATCAAAATCAGCATCTTTCTACTCAGTGCAATGAAGTGGTGTTGTCTGAAAAAAGTAATCGGTGTCAAAAAAGCATGACCCCTTTTTTCTCAGGACGGACATAAACAGGCTCTGGCCCAGACCCACACTTGTGCTGMTCAGAGCTTCATGCTCAGTGTCCCTTGTTTGCACTCCTTCAAGAATTATGTTGCTCAAACCGTTCAAACAACAACAGGCATTTAAAGTATTAATTACTCAGGATTAATACAAATTTGATTCTGCTTCTTTATAWTTTTTGACGTAATGTAAACACAGCAAGTGATAGCATGTATTGGAAAACAAATCATGTTTCTTAAATGAAACACAAGCAGCTATGAGGAAATGCACATCCCACTGGTTTCAGGTGGTTCTTTCATTCTTTTACCAGTAGTGTTAAGCAAATTGTCTTTCAAATGTCATTGTGACCAATACAGCATGAAAGGCTGGATCCTCCCATGTGGGTGTTTCTGTTTTTGGAAACAGCAGCAAATTTGTATGATGCCCATGTTCTAAATCACAGCAAGAGGATCTGGAAAACAGGACTAAATATTTTTCTGAACTTTTCACACATGCAATCAAATTAGCTGTGTGGGTTTCTGCTATGTCACAGAGACAGAACTGCAGGTATCTGCTTTTTTCATTGCTACAATAGATATTTAAATGTCTTCCAAACTCAGAAAGTATATTTCATTTTCTCTTTGTAGCACCTTGCCCCATCTCCACTGGGCYTTATTTGGTTTCTCATCTTACTGCCGCTGTGGCTTTGTATTTGTAAGATCTACTAACATCAATGGGATTCAGTGCTTAGTAGCAAGAAGGGTAAGATTTACATCTATCTAGCACTCTCAGATTAAAAAGGTTATGAATTTGACTAAAGAAACCTCAGACTGCCCTATGGGGTATACAAATGTTTCCTTCCTTGTGATTGTATTGGGCTCATTTCCACTATGGAACACCTCAGTGAAGTGTTGCTGGAGCTCTGTATTGCTTGGAAAGGACATTCCATTCCTGCTTTTTTTTTTCATGTGGATGGGCCACTACACTGGGAGATCAGTGGGATGGATATACTTCTATAGACAAAGCAAATATATTGAGCCCTGCATTTGAAGAGATGCTGCCCACCTCTCTGAACTAAGCTGTGAAAATAGACTTTGAGGAATTCTCCTGCTTCTAGACAAATGTGAGCATGGGCAAAAAACAACTATAAATGAGGTAGAGAGCACCAGAGGCCTGGTGACCATTGTTCAGCAGTGATGCAAGACCTTTTACAATTAGCTTTGGCAGCCTGGGAGCTCTCCAACTCCCAGTAATTCCTTGCTTGAGTGTGCAGTTTCAGGCTGTKTGGGGTTCAGCTGCACCTACAACAGGTGAGCTGAGTTTGCAGATGAAGAACAGCTCACGCTCASTTTTACTCCTGTGTGGTGCCAGGACTATTCTCTGCTGCTTACATAGGGATCAGTTTGGAAACATGGCCAGAAAATGGCTGGCTGTTGGTAAAAACAAACAAAATARTTTCAAATCAAAATTTGCAAGAATGGATTATTTGTTAGGAAATCARGGATGTGGGATGTATATATGCATGTGTGCATGTGGAAGGTGTTTGCACTTTGTCCAATGACCACAGAACACCATCATCAGATCTAGAGAGATTGAGGGCTCAAGAAGATTAAGGAGCTACCAGTTGCATTAAAGTAGATGGGAAAAGAAGTAGGATYCCATAAATGTCCCTGTCGAAAGGAAAACTGCTGTAGGAGCTAAATTTTTATTAGATAATGGTGAAACCATCTAAGAGAAAGACCTTAAAAACACACAACTGCAGGCAAAGCTTCTCATCTTCTTAAGTTCACAAGCCAATCAACACAAAGACACAGAGGTATGGGGATCCAGGTTCCGTTTACTCCTCTGTTCATGGAGCTACCTGTTAAATTTCCTTTACATCACAGTTRTTGTTGGGAATAACATATTAAAATAAATCATTGGCTCTAATTTKTCTGATTGTTCTCACAATGCAATACTTCAAATAAAAATGCACTTATTTTACTTTTGAAAGATTTTGATTGCAGCAACTGCTTGCTATACAGCATCACTTGCCACCTTGAGAAGCCTATTGCATTTTGGTGTAAAGAAGCTCATTGCTGATGATGTTTCATATTTCTCAACATCAGTTAGTGTTTGGATACACCCTAATCTCTTCTACTTGCTGTGTTTGTCCACACACTGATGTTTGAAATTGCTGGGCATAGTATAGCTAGTTACCKGACTACCATCACCATTGAYTTTGCTTCTCCTGCTTTAATGCTYGTGTTGTGGTTTAATCCCAGCCAGCAGCTAAGTACTGCTCTGTCACTGCCTGCCCCCCAGCTTGCAGTGGGGAGGAGAAATGGAAAAAAAAGAAAAAGTAAAACTCATGGGTTGAGATAAGAGCAGTTTAATAAGTGAAATAAAATCTAATAATTCTGTTTATAACAATTACAGGAGGTAGTGGGGGGTGGGGGCAACCCAAAAGAAACAAGCAAAGCACAATACAGTTGCTTAYCCCCCGCTGACAGATGCCCAGCCCATACCTGAGGAGCAATCATTCTCCTGGCCAACTCCTCTCAGTTTATATAGTGGGAACGGTGTTCTGTGGTATGGAATTTACTTTTGGGTAGTTCGGATCTGCTGTCCTGGCTGTGCTCCCTGCCTGCTCACTGGCAGAGCGTGGGAAACTGAAAAGTCTTGACTTAGGGTAAGCACAACTTAGCAACAATAAAAACAACAGTGTGTTATCAACCTCTGTCTCATACTACATTCAAAATGCAACACTGTTTCAGCTACTAAGAAGAAAATTAAATATCCAGATGAAACCAAGACAGCTATCTTAGAGAAATCTCCCACAGTCTTGTTTAGCAATTATCTTACCTTTTTTTACTCTTTTTTTGGCAGTCCTTTTTCTGTTAATAGTGTTTGGACATGACAGAATTACCCTGCAAGGACATGCAGAAGAGTAATATCATCACCAATATTCCTTGAGAAATTTGGRTGAGTTCCTAGAAATAGTCACCTGGCACCTCTATTTTGAGCACTGGGATTTTCTTTTACAGGCATGTCCCATAATGGTTACCTCTCTATTTCAAATATCACTAGGGTACA